AAACTAAATGATATATGTATAGATAGATATATTCAATGTATATAATTTTAATTAATGAAATTGAAAATATAAGATATAGAATTTATATAAATTTAGTTAAAATTGCTGTGGGGGCATTGAAGATTAATGTTTTAAAGGAATATAAAGTTTGGAATTTTATGACTTGTATTATATGTATGGTGGGAGTCCTACCCCATGACATGTGAGTAATATGCCTTTTCGCTTTCAATATCTTATTGTTCATCAATTCATTTCTTAATGAATTAGGCCAAAATAAATGAGGTATATATGTACTACTTGTGCTTCTTTACCTACTATTTATATTTACATTCACATCATACATACATATTTATATCGTATAATCAATCAGAAAAAAAATTCTTTCCTTTTTGTTAAAAAAATAAAACGACTTTAAAGTAACGTATATTATTATTATATGACAAAAAATATTAAAAATTAAAAATTAAAAGTAAAGGTATTTATTCGTTCGAAATCAAATTGAATCAAACTGAACCGGATAAGGCTAATGATTGATTAAGAGTGAGGGTATGATCAAAGTTAAATTATTTTAAGTTTTATTCAAATCAACATTTTTTAGTTTTTTCAGAATAAAAATGTTTTTTTTTCTTCAAAATTTATTAATTAAAAATAGATAAAAATAAAATAAAATAAAAATTTGGATTGATCTAATTTTTTTTTAATGTTTTGGCATGAAAATTGAGGATTCGACCAAATAATATTCGATTTAATTTAATTCAGATTGAACAATTCAGTCTGGTTTGATTTTTTTATTTTTATATGAAAATGCACATTTATATTTAAAAGAAATATTTTTTAATTTAATTAATTTATTTTTAATTAATGAATAATAAAAACTTATAAGTTAAATAAAAGGTTTCGTTGTAAAAACCGAGTCACTAATCTTGAAAAAAAAAAACAAAGTTAGAGACTTAACTGAAAAAATTGAAGATCAAAAACTAAATTAGAAAAAGAGTAAAAGGTCAAGGTTTTTCTGGCACTTAAATCTTATTTCCAGGGCAGAAGGACACTTTCCTCAAGAGCTCTGGATCTAGATATAGTTCCTTTTTAGCAATATAACCTATTTGTCAAGTTAGAGAACAACAAATAATATGAATTATTGTATACTTATTGCCGTAATTAATAGTATATAATCATAAAACAAGAAACTTTCCAGTTCATAATTTTTATTTGGAACAAAAGATATATTACATGTTCATGTTTCATCTATAACAGTTGCCAATGATTTGCAGAAGAAAAATATACATGCTACAGATACAAGAGGGAACGCAAAATTCCTTGTGAATTCCCCAAGAAACTCCATGAGAATGTTCATTTTCCTTTGGTTTAGTAGCTTGTCTGACTATATGTATAGTTATAACATATATATATATATATATATATATATATATATATATATATCACCAAGGCATGACGCCAACTATATTTTTTTAATGAATCATTTGCCTATATTGATACAAAATTTACAACAGATGGGAATAAATCCCATTACCGAAGCTAGTTTTGATGACTAAGAATGGTTGTCTGGCAACCAAGAATTCTACCTGTTTTAGTTTTCGATCAGATGCTCCACATCGTTCAGTTCAATCTCAGGTAATGTTATCTGCCATTCTCCATGATCATGAGCTTGAAACACCAGTTCTATTTGTTCCAAGGACTTCCCTTTCGTTTCCGGAACACAAAAGTGGACAAAAGCAATGGAAATAGCTGAAATCATGGAGAAGACAAAGAAGGTTCCTCCAACTGTGATTGCATGCGAGACTGAGAGGAATGACATAGCAACAACCCCACTGCTCACCCTACTACCTACTGCTCCAAGAGCAGATGCTTGAGCCCGGAGTCTCAGAGGAAAGATTTCAGATGACAAAACCCAACAAACAGGACCAATTCCTACAGAAAAAAATGCTACATTTGCACAAACTGATAAGATTGCTAATCCAATTCCAAGATACCCATTTCCCAGAAAAAATAGAGTAAGACTTAGACATAACAAGCTTATAGTCATCCCAATTGTGCTTACATAAAGCAAGGGCTTTCTACCCAGTTTGTCAATCAGGAATATTGCTGTCAAGATAAATGTAGTTTTGGTGAAGCCTACAGCAACTGTTGCAGCAAGAAGCTGAGTATTGCCTTTGATCCCTGCGTTTTTGAAGATTGTAGGACTATAATATACAGTTGCATCGATACCAGTAATCTGTTGGAAACATTGGATTCCACAACCAGCAATAAGCATTCGTCTAACTGGAGGAGAAGGATTTAGAATTTCATGCCACACAGCTTTCGTTTCATGCTTCTCGGAACTATAGTCTCCAGCAGCTACTTGTATTTCGGCTAGTCTTTCCTCCGCTTCTCTTTCGTTCTCGTTTATCTTTGAAAGCACAATTCTTGCTTCTTCAATCCTGTTCTGCATCACCAACCACCTTGGAGATTCGGGAATCACACATAAAGCAAATCCCAGAAATATTGAAGGAATAATACCAACACCAAGCATGATTCTCCAGTTTATATGTGCGGGCAGTCCGGAGAAAGCATAGTTTGAGATGTAGCCCAGAAGGATTCCTAGATTTGTAAAGATCTCAGGAAAGGATGTAAGAGATCCTCTATCATTCGAGGGTGATATCTCAACAATATATACAGGAGCAATCATAACCCCGAAGCCTATCCCAATGCCAGCCAAGAGCCTGCCTATCATCAGAATTCCAAATGAAGGTGCAAGAGACATTATAACAGCACCTGACTGAAAAATAATGGCAGCAAAGGCTATTGTCCATTTTCTACCAACAGCATCTGATGTTTTTCCTCCAGCTAAACTACCTAAAAGAGAAATTATGCTTAAGATCCCAACAAGAACCTCTTCTTGTACCTCTGATATATTTAAATCCTCTTGAATGAATATAATAGCTCCACTCATTACACCCACATCTGTGATATTTGAAACACAGAATTGATCAGAAAAACTGACTACTGCAACTAACCAAGAACAGAAAAAGAAAACAACAAATACTTTCTATGATCAGATCCGGAATTCATCTTATATCTTGTTCTTATAAAGTTTCTAGCAGGAAAATAAATAAGAGAGTGTACTAATATTTGCAGCCCAATGGACCACAAGCACTGTCTTAAACTATGATGCAGGGTAGTAAATTAATTCCAACAGCACCACCATGATCATAATGTTTGAATGGAATAAACCCATATCATTAACCTCTAAGCTCATGTTACAACTAAAATGTAATCAACCTCCTAAATTGAAACACAAGAAACTATTCCTTAATTAAGCACACTATCTCCTCCATTCTCTCTCTAAGTTTCTGATCAAAATTTAAATTCCCCATCTCACTAATGCATAAAAATGAAAAATCCATCTCATAATGCGCATTTTTCATATCTTGAACCAACTACCAATTTGGATTCCAAACCTGGATTAAGAACCGACTTGATAAACAAAATGGGTAATCTTTCACTTAAGAGATCAAACAAAGACCAAAGAGATCATGTCCTATAACCGTCCTACAAAATAAAATGAAGAAGAAAAACAATGGGATTTCAGGACAAAAGAAAATACCAACCATAGCCAAGGAGCACAGAATTAAGAGAGGCAAATATGGCGCAAGCAAACACAAATTTGGTGGTCTCGCCATTGTTAATTTTAACACCCATCTGTTGTTTTCTTCGTTGTTCTTCGCCATTAGACAACTGAGAATCCTCCTCTTCATCCTCTGAATCCATCCTCCTGTAAGTGTTCCACTTCCCACCCACATCCCCATTTCGCTGCAACCCCATTTCCCCTCTCTTCTCCTCTATACTCTCTACAAAATATCTATAATATCTATATACTGCGTGTATTTTTCACACACAGACATATACATATATATGTATATATCTTCGTCTCCTCCCCTTTTCTACGTATGCTGAGATTCAGATATGAGGAGACAAACAAAATCTGTTTTTTTTGGTTAGTTGAAATTCAGATATGAGGAGAAAAAAGAGAAAAATTGGGAGGGAGGAGAGAATTCAAAACATTAATTTGTCATCAAGCGTGGGATTCGCAAGAGCTGGAATTTTCTTATAGCGAACCAAGTGGGCCTTGCGATTGGTCAATTTCCGGCAATACAAAGGAAGTTTGACAGAAGAATGAAATGCCGTGGAGCTGTACGGACTGGAAGATGTTGTGAAGTTACCCGTTTGCCCTTTTTTTCTGGATGGTTTGATTTCCTCCTAATTAATGGAAATTAAATACTGGATCCGGCTTGACTGAAGCGGGCCGGATATTTTCAAACGGGCTCGGTCAGCTCGGAATCGCCCGGCCCGGATAGTGCAACCCATGGGCATTTATAGGCCCTAGCTTTCGTGTCGCCATATAATTTCTCTCATCCACTCTCTCCTCCTTTTACTCCAAAACCCTCCATCTTCCGCGATTCGCCTGAAAATTTCCGAAGCATGACGCCGGAGACTGTTCCGCGAGAGAACGGCATGGTTTCCAATGGGGATACTACCACGAATCTTGATCCTATCTCCAAGAAATCCCGTGAGAGCGAACGTCGTCGTCGCAGGCGCAAGCAGAAGAAGAACAAGGCCTCCCAGGCTTCTGATGCCGAGGCTGTTGATGCAGACGAAAGCGAAACCGCCACAGCCCGCGACGAGGATGATGCTAAGGAGAACGCCGATCCCCAACAGCAGGTCAGCTTCATTTCTCCTACTTTCTTTTACTTATCGTCAAAATCTCTAGGGATTTGATACCAACCTTTACGATATTGTGAATATTCCAGTAATAGTAGTTAGGTTGAGTGTCCTTATAATGAATGAGTGAGCGGTGGAATTTCTTTTGGGGTTACATCGACGAAGTCGGACTTTCGTTGTTCTATTGTGCTGATCATTAGGTGTTGTGTTGATGAAGGTCCATTTTCAATTAGCTTGTGTCAACTAGTTACGTAGGAACTGCTATAAATGTTGAATACTCGTGGTTTGTATATTTGTCTTCTGCTGCTTTTGGTCTAGTTCTATGCTTTGCACTACTTCTCCCGTGTTTCCAAAGCAAACTATTAAGCATGATCTTAATTTGCTTCCAACTGTTCTTTTAGATACTTGATTTAGGATTTGATTATGAGAATTTTGGTTTTAACTATCTTGAAGTTAGAGGAAAGAATAGGAGCCCTAACGTTGGTTCTTAGAGGAGTGGTCAGGGCAACTCTGCGTGTAGTTGCTTGTGGACCTGAAAAAAGGAGCAGAAAATGGACATGATATTTTCTTTTGGTGGTTCTGACAATCATTTATAGTTGGAATACAATTTCCTGTTTTCTGCTTCTTTAGAACTGATTCTATATTCATTGATCAGTTAATGACATAGATGGTATTTTGTTTCTTTCAAAAATTGTAGATTGCAGAGCAAGTGGTAGTTGAGTATGTTCCAGAAAAGGCAGAATTAGATGATGTGATGGATGAGGAATTCAGAAAGATCTTTGAGAAATTTAGTTTCCAGGAATCTGCTGGCTCTGAGGTAAAATGGAAATAATTTCCACCTGTTGGGGATGATCTCTTTTCCTTTAGTTTTTTCCCCCTGTTGCACTGAACTGTTATTATATATAGATTTCTATTTGTTAACTCAGGATAATGATAAAATGGATGAGTCTGCCAAAGATGCAGATGCAAAGAAGAAGACTGACTCAGATTCAGAAGAGGAAGAGCAGGATAACC